ATTCTGGATGTTATTTTAATAAGTGGCTCCACCTTCTTATCATTTTGATAACTGTAATGAGCTATTGAACAAAACATCTGTTACTGGAATTACAGGAATTTTTTGTTTTGAGATGGAGTCTCACTGTGTTGTCCAGACTGGAGCATAGTGGCATGATCTCAGCTCACTGCAACCTTTGCCTCTGGGCTTCAAGTGATTCTCCTCCCTCAGCCTCCTGAGCAGTGGGATTACAGGTGTGTGGTATCACATCCAACTAATTTTTCTATTTTTAGTAGAGATGGAGTTTCACTATGTTGACCAGACTGGTCTTGAACTCCTGACCTCTGGTGATCCACCAGCCTCAGCCTCGCAAAGTGCTGGGATTACAGGCCATGAGCCACCATGCCTGGGCAGGAATGATTTTTTCTTACCAGCAAAATTATTGTTTCCATCAACTTTTTTGTTGCATTATGTATAAAATTATGCAAAATATGTCACCTTGATTTCTCATGTTGAAGAGCTCTGTCCTCCCTGGAAGTTTGGTAAGTGTGCTATTTCCCTGAGCCTTCTTCTTACCATTGGGTGGTAAGTTTTGATCACTGAATATGTCAGCTGTCATTTCTCATCCTCTGATTAGTACACTCTGACAGGATTTGTAAAAACATCATGTTGGTTTTTACCGTAGTTAACTATCCTTGCTTGAATACTTTTGTTTTTGGTATATGCCGACAGATGGTTGAGGTTTACAGTGAAATCTAATGTGATCTTTAGAATTTATACTAAAATAGATACACTGTTCAGGGGTTTCTTGGGCTCTTCCATCTCCATCAGATGCTTCTTACATCAAATGAGGAATAGTAAGAAATAGTTGTTTTTCTAGACTGTCGTATGATAGCACTTTAAGGTAAAAAGTCTTTATGAACATTTAAGAAGGGAATGCATAAGCAAAGGTTTAAGAAAACTACTGCTGAAGGATTGGGCTTAATAGGAATGAAGAAACTATGCTATCTAACTGGAATGTTGTATAATTCACCTTTCTTAGAATTTCTTTTTCATTTTTCAAAACATAACTTATTAAAAATCATATTTATACAAACTTCTCTTTATGAAGCTGTTTTGGAGCTCTCCAGTAAGATGCTCATAGTTTGCTTTTTTAAGAAAAACCTTATGGAAATTGAAGATGATGATGATGATGATGATGATTATTATTTAGACAGAGTCTCACTCTTGTCACCCAGGCTGGAGTACAGTGGCACCATCTCAGCTCACTGCAACCTCCGCCTCCCAAGTTTAAGCGATTTTCCTGCCTCAGCCTCCTGAGTAGCTGGAATTACATGCACCACCATGCCCATCTAATTTTTGTGTTTTAGTAGAGATGGGGTTTCACTATGTTGGCCAGGCTGATCTCAAACTCCTGACCTCAGGTGATCCACCCTCATTGGGTTCACAAAGTGCTGGGATTACAGGCATAAGCCAATACGCCTGGCCATAAGATTAGTTTTCTTAACAAATTCTTCCCTTTCACTGTAATTAGTATTAGCAGTGAGCATCTTTGAATTCCTTATATTGATTTGTGTCTCTCATCCTGATGAATGGATAACAATCAGATTGTAGGAAGAGAAGTGATTTGTTTGAAGACCATTTCAGCCTTAAGAAACAAATATATGCACTTACAGAAGGCTAAAAAGCTGTAAAAATATTTGTGCTCATTTGTAATATAGACATAGAAAAAGATATGTTAGAACTGAAAGAGAGCATCCTGCTTATCCCTTAATTTTATAGATAAGAACTCTGAGCCCAAAGATGAGTGGCTTCTGTAAGGTTACATAGACAATGAACATGAAACTCTAGGTCTTGATGATCCCATATTCAGTGTTCCTTTCACCACAAGGCAACCAAAATATTTTTAAATACTGCTGGAATAATATTTAAACATATAGAAATGCCTACTTATTGACTGAAATCCAAACATTTCTAATTTTTTTCTTTTTAATATTATCAGGCTTACTTCTTTGAGAAGTCCATATTATTTTTCTTGGTTCTCTAGTGGTGATATTAAATATCTTGGTTTCCAATTCAGTATCACACTGAAAGCACTTTATACTTTGTGTCCAATCAATGGATAATAGCTTTTTTGTCCACAAATCATCTAATTTTTGTTTTAGATTATAAACTCCTAGACAGCAAGAACATTGATAATTTCCTATTTGGTACAGCTCATGTAAAGTGCACTTTGGAACCCTATTTTTAAAAAGTATCTTAACATGAAGTGCTTCTTCTTTCAAGTTCCTATCTTATACAATGTATTTGCACTCTGGGGCAACACTGTACCTATGTTCTGTATGGCATATACTCCGTCTGAGCATTTGCTAAGTGATAGTCAGTGATAAGGTTTGGCTGTGTCCCCACCAAAATCCCATCCTTTTTTTTTTTTTGAGACAGAATCTCACTCTGTTGCCCCAGCTGGAGTGCAGTGGCATGTTGTTGGCTCACTGCAACCTCTGACTCCCAGGTTCAAGTGATCCTCCTGCTTCAGCCTCCTGAGTAACTGGGATTACAGGAATGCACCACTACATCCAGATCCTTTTTTTTATTTTTAGTAGAAATGGGGTTTCACCATGTTGGCCAGGCTGGTCTCGAACTCCTGATCTTAGGTGATCCACCTGCTTCGGCCCCCCAAAGTGCTGGAATTGCAGGTGTGAGCCACCACATATGGAACCAAATCTCATCTTGAATTGAGTTCCCATGATCCCCACATGTAGTGTAAGGGAACTGATGGGAGATAATTAAATCATGGGGGTGATTACCCCCATGCTGTTCTCATGATGATGAGTAAGTTCTCATGAGATCTGATGGTTTTAAAAGGGGCTTTTCCCCCTTTGCTTGGCACTTCTCCTTCCTGCTGCCATGTAAGAAGGATGTGTTTGCTTCCCCTTCCACCATGATTGTAAGTTTCCTGAGGCCTCCCCGGCCATGCTGAATTGTGAGTTAATTAAACCTCTTTCCTTTGTAAATTACCCAGTCTTGGGTATGTCTTTATTAGCGGCAATAAAACAAACCAATACAGTCAGTATAATAGGAATTATTACTATTCTAGTTCTGTTCCATCTATTTCTTTTTACAAAGCCTGCTCTTCTACAAACTAGCTGAAGAAGCTGATCACATGGAAAGTATTTCATTTTTATACAGTCTTTAAAGGTCTACTTTCAGTTCATCATAAAATAACCTAATTGTGGAATCTGAAAATTGGAAGAAACATTGGAAAGCAATCTCTGTGGCTACCCTGGAAAAATATTTTAAATAAGAGTTTAAAAATCCTCCACACCCCTTCAACAAGTAACATAGGTTGCAGCCACTAAAATTAGTTATTTTATATCTGGTATAAATCCTTATTATGGAAAAGGAATCCCGTGACTTATATTTATATCTCCTATGGAAAGATTATTTAACAAAGTGTTATGGGTAGTATAGATCCTGAATAGGTAGAAAAAGAACTACTTCTGTTTTCTTAAGATCTTTAAAGGCCAGGCATGGTGGCTCACACCTATCATCTCAGCACTTTGGGAGGCCAAGACGGCAGATCACTTGAAGCCAGGAGTTTGAGACTACCCTGGGCAACATGGTGAAACCCCCTCTCTACTAAAAATACACATATTAGCCAGGTGTGGTGGCATGGGCCTGTGGTCCCAGCTACTAGAAAGGCTGAGGTGGAAGGATTGTTTGAGAGTGAGAGGTCAAGGCTGTAGTGAGCCCAGATCATGTCATGCCATTGCACTCCAGCCTACATGGCAAAGTGAGATTCTGTCTCAAAAAAAAAGATATAACCAGGGACTAAATTATGCCTTGTATTTGAATTCAGGAGCCTTTCTTCTGGAAGCCAAGGTTTGTTGCTCCCCTCCCCCCATCCCCCAACTCCCCAAATTATAGTCATTTCTGTTGGCCATGGGCAAGTAAAACCTGACGGACTGTCTTAGGGCTTGCCTGGGAACATCTGTTTCCCTGTTTACCCTTCAAAGTTAATCATTCCCAAGGTTGACTTTAATTAATTCTGATGCAATTCACTTCCTTTCCTTTAATAATTATTAAAAATTTCAGGGCAGGGTACAGTGGCTCATGTCTGTAATCCAGCACTTTGGGAGCCCAAGGTGGGATGATTGCTTAAGCCCAAGAGTTCGAGACCAGCCTGGGCAACATAGTGAGACCCCATCTCTACATAAAGTTTAAAAATTAGCCAAGCATGTTGGCATGTGCCTCCCAACTACTTGGGGGGCTGAGATGGGAAGATTGCCTGAGCCCAGGACTCAAGTCCCTCGCTTGAGTCAAGGCTGCAGTTAGTTATCACACCACCGCACTCTAGCCTGGATGACGGTATGAGACTCCATTAAAAAGAAAAATAAAAGAAAGAAGCAGGACAAGCAAATACATGTATCTTTTTAAAGACAGTTATTAAGAGATTTTTTTAAAATTGAGACAGGGTCTCCCTTTGTCACCCAGGCTGGAGTGCAGCGGCACAATCTGGGTTCACTGTAGCCTCAAACTTTCAGGCTCAAGCCATCCTCCTACCTTACCCTCCCAAGTAACTGGGACCACAAGCTTGCACCACCACACCCTGCTAATTTTTGTATTTTTTGTAGAGATGATGTTTCGCCACATTGCCCAGGCTGGTCTCGAATTCCTAAACTCAAGCAATCTGCCCGCCTCAACCTCCCAAAATGCTGGAATTACAGGCATGAAAAACCGTACCCAGTCCCATAATCTTTGTAGCACTCCTTTACCAAAGAAGAATTATACTAAAAATTTAGATTTATACAAATAATACTGTGAACATATAGCTGGCAGTTCTGAGCTGGAAGTTCCTTTGTCATTCAGGAAACTTTCTGGAGAAATCACCTTCCTGATTCCAGTTCCTGGGGGCAGCACAATTGAAGATGGAGGGCCAGAATAAATACCCTAGTCAGAAAGCTGCACCGCATTCAGACAAAATCCAGTTGGAGAAGAAAGCCATTTTCATAATTTAGCGAGCTTCCCCAACTAGCCTGTAGGTGGGTGTGTTTAACAGAAGGAAGCAATGGGAACCCGCCTGTCAGCCAGCCTTTCGAGCTAATTAGCTCAGCATACAACAAAGATAAGTGAGCCTGGGAAGAGGGCCCCCTGAGGGGTCTTTAGATTCTGGGAAATGTCTGATTGGCAGATGTTAAAAGGGATTCTTTGGTAATCCAGTGCATCAATGAGCTGCAGAAATTCAGCCCAGGACTGCAAGAATTCAGGCATGAGGACACTCTGTACAGGAGGCTCACACAGGCAGACCCAAGATGGACAGAACCTTGGAATCTCTGAGACACATCATTGCCCAAGTCTTGCCTCACAGAGATCCGGCTCTAGTCTTCAAAGACTGTAAGTACTGAAGGGGAAAAAGTTTTTTTGACTTTTTAGAAAATAGTCCTAAACGTCTAGTCACATCCTATTTAAGGACGATTTCTCCTAAATCTCTGTAGTCGTATGCTGTGTTCTAAGTGATATTTTAACTTGTTCCTGACTTCAGTCAGAAGAATTTCATTTCACCTACAGGCATTAGGCGCTGGGTTATTTTGTCAGTGATACATCTTGCTAACTATTTAAAAGTCTCTTCTACAATCCAAGACCCGCTAAGACTGAATGAACTTTTTCTGATGCCTTTTAAGTAAAGCAAGGCTGAGTGGTACTGAGATTAAACCTAAAAATAACTGGAAAAATACTAAAATATATCAGTATTTGTTAACCTGCTTAATACTCCACTATACATACATATTAGTTCTATTAATTCAAGGATAGTGTTTGTCTGTTTTTGTTGCAAACCAGAATTAACAATAAATCAGCCCTGAGCTTTTAAATTTTGATGACCGATTATAATGCTTTAGTTAAAAGGCCAATAAAATGAGTTGCCTCCCAACCTCAGCAACACTCCCTGTGGGGACCCACCCCACCACCACCAATTTATACAGCATGGCAAAGTTATTCCAAAATCTTTTTAATGATTTAAAAATAATTCAATCAAGATTTCCAATTCTAGCAATACTATTAAGCCATTTGTCATATAACTTTGTTTCTGGAACCAATTTGATTTCCTGCTGCTGCAAAACAGACTGTCTTCATGTTGTATCTTATCTACAGTGGGTTTCACATTACAAAGGGCTTCTGAAATAGAACTTTGCTATGGAACTGCCCAAAAGGTAAAATGCATATGGAATTTTTTTTTAAACTTCAATAGGTTGCAGCTTTCCTCTTTGTGAATCTAGTTATGTTTGCCTCCATCAAAACATCAATGGTTTGAATTTTTGCTTTCTGATTGCTGAATAATGTTCCTTTCCAGATGTCCTCTTAGCTTAGATTTCTCATATGTATGCTGAAGAAAGAGGAATGTTAGGCCATTTAATTCTATAAATTTTTCCTCTTAGATGTTAAATTGTAACCAATCTGTCCTTTAAGGCATAAAGTGAAAGCCTTTTCTTTCTCTCTCTCTTTTTAAATGTTGTCTTTAAGCATTTGCCAATAGCTATGTTAGATCTAATAAAAATCACTCTCTCCACTGCTCTAGCCTGGAGTCTATTCAGGTTTGTTATGTTTTTTAAGCTAAAAGGGAAGGAAAGAATGTCTCTCTTGTACAATAGAACTGAATTCACTAGTGAGGGATAAAAGGGCTCTTGGGCTGCCCACGCTTTGGATAAATTGTATAGAACCAGGGATCTTATGCTTAGGGTTTAAATAGTGGAAGCAGTTTAAAAAAAAAAGTAGGGACGAAATTTGTCACTGGCTCATTGAAAACTTAGTAAGTTCAAATCTGAAATTGTATGGCTCACTTTCCAGCTGAACTAAATTACAGCGCTTGTTTACAGTTTAGAAGAGAAGATAGACTAGAGAAAGGATTACAAAAATGCATTAAGTTCTGTCATCCAGGACTTTGCAGGACTTATTTTACATGGGAGAACAAATAAGTATCCTCTTTTATATATTTCATTCATTAACATAGAACCTAAATTTGACCAGAGAGCATCGCCTGTTTACCCTAGAATGGACTGCTACTCTGCAGCTGCTTCCATGGCTTAGAAGATGTGAATATTAAACTGCCGATTCTCTTCCTTCTTTTCTAATCTGAAAAATGACTAACTGACAGTAAGCCAAATGGCACACTTCTGTACCAGGAGTTTTCCTAACATTAACACAGCCAACCACTTACCAATCTCATAGAATGAATAAGTGGGAATGGGCTTACTTTCTGGGACAGAACACCAAAAGTCTGTCTGGAGTCTATGCCATTGTCCTGGCAAGCTATAGGTGATGCACACGCCAGAATTTGGCATGTGGACCCATTTTCTTTGGCATAGCCATAAGTTGCTGCCACCACACTCCTACTGGCAGCCTGTAAAAAGCTGCCACCAGCCTTAAATGGCAGGTTCTGAGCAGTCCCCTCCCCTCCTAGTCACTCCTGGCTCCTCCTTCACTCTAACTGGCTCCAAGCTCTTTCTGCCAGAAGGAAAGAGCTGAGCACTTGAGCACATCACTGCCAATTCCTTAAGAAAAATTGCTACCTTACTTTCCTACAAGATGAAATATGATCCAATAATTTTTAAAACCCAGCCCAGCTGAACAAAAGGGCACACGCGCACACACACGCACACACACACACACACACACACACACACCCCACTTAAATTTTTTCTAAATTTCCCTTCCATGAATGCAAACAGTTTTTTTCTCTCTTCACTCTTTGGTCACACATAATGCAGGGAGTGTAAATGATCATGCAATTCATTTATTGCCCTCAGTTGGCTTTTGATTTGCTTAAAAACAAGCAATAGTAACTGAATTTTCTCTCAAGTTGGTTAGAAAAAGCACCCAGAGAGTTTTCTGGTCTGAAACAGATGCACATGGGAATAGTTACGTTCATTTAAAGAAATAAAATTCAAATGCTTTCTCAGACAAGGAAGCTCTTCAAATGGCATTTTGCAATACATTAAACCTGTCATTTTATTTTATACAAGGCATTCATCTGGGCATAGTTGTGAATTTTTAAATTTTCTCTCCTGGAAGGAAATAAATTCCATAACATTTTTTTTCTTTTCCCTATTTCACATTTTATATGAAAAATAATGGAAAGTTTTTAAATAGGGTGGACTCCCAGTTTGAAGTTTGTTCACCTAAGCTGACACTGGACTGTTCTCACCTGCATAAAGGTCTCTTTTAAAACAAGTAGCGCTGGAAGTCTCCGTACTACCAGGCAGAATCTCCGCATACAAAGTATAGCTTGTCTTCATATTGCCTTCCATTCTTGGCTTTGTGCAATATCTAATTTCTTTTCATGTGTCGCGCATCACAACCAAAGCTGAGTTATCCTAAAAGCAGCCACTGTCCACTCTTTTGAAGAAGTGTGTGAGCCTACTATTTGTTTGCCATCGTTTGACAATTCCTTGTGTGCCTTCTCAAAAGAAATTGCCATGTGACTTCAAGACAGCTGTGCTTTCAGATCCTAATCTGAGTGTTAACTCTTCATATTACAAGAATACAATACATTTATTGGCCATCTTTTGGCTTCTCCTTCAACCATTTAATAGTAAGGCTAAGATGTCAAGTCCTCATCATGTGATAGGCGCTGTACTAGAAACATTTATTCTTCACAGTAAACTAGTAATGTAGGTACTATGTTGTAGGAGGTAAGGGAACTGAGGCACACAGAGGTTAAAATGACTTGCCCAATCACCTGAGGTTGGGAGTTCAAGACCAGCCTGACCAACATGGAGAAACCCCATCTCTACTAAAAATACAAAATTAGTCAGGCATGGTGGTGCATGCCTGTAATCCCAGCTACTCAGAAGGCTGAGGCAGGAGAATTGCTTAAACCTGGGAGGTGGCAGTTGTGGTGAGGCAAGATTGTGCCATTGCACTCCAGCCTTAAACAAAAAAAAAACAAAGCAAAGCAAAACAAAAACAAAAAATGACTCATCTAAGGTCACATGGCTAGTATATGATAGGTCCAGGAATCAAATTCTGTCTTCCAACTCCTCATCTTGAAACACTACAAGACGTTGCCTCTCAGAAGTGCTAGTTATCATGTCATTACTTTTGTAATAGGTTGTACAGGTTGAGTATGCCTTTATCAGAAATGCTTGGGACCAGAAGTGTTGTAGATTTCAGATTATTTTTGAATTCTGGAATGTTTGCCTTATATATACCTTAGCATCCCAAATCTGAAACATCTGAACTCTAAAATGCTTCAATGAACACTTCCTTGGAGTCATGTCAGTAATTAAATGTTCTGGATTTTGTAACATTTTGGATTTCAGGTTTTTGGATTTGGGATGCTCGTCTTGTATCTGTTAGGGAAAGAGGGGAGAAAAAGGAACTCCTCTGGGGGCATAGAGGGAGCCCATTAAATAATCACATTTGAATATAAGTGTGAGAAGGAAGTAGAGAGAAGAAGATAATTTTTGATGAGATAGAACAGCTTTTTCAAAGACAAATTGGGCAACACAAGAACCATGTGCTGGGGGAGGCAGAGACAGACTGAGGAAGCAGGTTGGGTCATGCTGACGTGCAGGCAATAGGGAGCCATTGGAGTTAACAGTGATCCTAAATCTGGAAGTTTATGGCCTTATGTTGCATTGGGGAAAAGTTTATGTTGACATCGGTTGGAGGTACACTTCCTGATACCTAAGTTAGAAGAACTGCAGCTTTTTCTTAGCAAGAAACCATTTGCCAACTCAGGCAAGATGTAAGATTTGCGAATGTCAGAGAAACCACTTTCACTGACTGAAGGCCAAAATCAAGACAAACTTTCTCAAAAAGATTGTTTAAAAGCTATCTTAATTGTCACTGTAGCCATGAGAATGAGTTGGTTTCTAGCACTGACTTATAAAGTGACATGTAAGATGTCACTGATATTTTTCTCAAATTTTATAATGAAACAGTAAGATGGATCCTTTACTAAGCATTGAAAATTGGAAGCAAATTTCTCACATATTTGAGGTGCATTAACTCTTCCATTTGGGAGAACATTTTTTCTGCATGAAAGGTTTTATTTATATCAGATAGGTGAGTACTTTACTTCAAAGAGTATATTTTTTACCCTTTGGAAAAACTGGAGCAGGCTACGGGGCTATTAAAAGCATCTTAGTAATCATGAATCTAATTATATGCAGCACGCGAAAGCAAGAATCCTCAGGAGCCAAGTACTTTACCCCATGCTTTTTAGTATAGTTATATGAAATCAATAAATTTGATGATAAATTTAGTTTCCACATTTCCCTGAAAGGAATGGAGTAGGATGTAAAGGCTGAAGATTCTTCTGCAATAAAATCCCTATACATATTGCATTGCATTCCACCACCCCTGAAAAAAAATAGTTTAAAAACACAAAAACC